GTTTCAACGTCACTAACACGCATGTCTTCCCACCTCAAGTACGGGAGGAATTAATTACTTACGAATTATTTTCAAGGAAAAGTTAAACCATAATTATTTCCACTTGGAGTCATTGTAGTATTAAATAAAATATGTAAAGCAATGCCGTATTTTTATTAGCGAAAAATTGTCTTGAGACGATATCTATATTTCACCAAGGGTGTGTGTTAGTATGTATTTAAGTTTTATTTTTGGAAGGAGTACTGATTATCCTTAAATGAATGTTGTTTTTGTTGTTTACTATCAAGTTCTGTGAGGAAAATGTTAGTTTAGATTAATTTTGTTTTATTCTTGTGAAACATTTTATAAATTGCAATGAAAAGTCGACATTCGTTGCATAATCAGAACACGTTACTTTTCAGAGTGATGGGGAGGAAAATAAAATTGATTAATGTCTCATTATAAATTGCGGGATTCATAAGTGCTTCGCACAACAGAAATATGAGTATGGTAATTGGTAATAAAATGTAGACAGAATTTACAAACTAATATTTACAAAGGTAATCACATATCGTAGGGAGCGATGAACTAAATCGACAATTACACAAGGGTTTTAGTAATTGTATGCGCCGAAGCATCAAGATATTCCCCTTGCATGTTGCTGCAAAGCTAGCGCTGACTAGAGATTTCCGGCAGGAGCAGCAGCTCTCGTTGAGAAAGCCAGCGTGCGCCGCTCCCCGAGCCTGCGTGCAAAGGGACCACCGTGTATGTTATAAGCCGGAGCTCCTCTGGCCGGGCGGCGCGGCGCCGATAATGGAGGACTCCGTGTGAAGCGATAGTGCTGTCGGGCGCCAGACGGCGCGGCGGCTCTCGCCTGGCGCGCGGGTGGCCAGGGCCAGTAGCCTTTGTGTGGGCGAGGGCGAGGGCTTGAGGCCACGGCGCCGTAACTCCGGGTGCCGCGCGCTCTGCGCTAGATCATCGTAACCGGGGGCGGAAGTGCGCGGGCGGGCGGCCGCCGTCAATGGCGGAGCCGGAGGAGCCGCCCGGATCGCCTCGAAGCCGCTTGAGCCGCGCCGCTCGTAAATTCCTCGCGCATTCAGCGTCTCTGCTCGCGACGCACACGACGTGTCGCCCTAACCGGCGCGGCGCTGTGGACGGCCCTATAATTTGCATCAGAACACTGATGCTCATATTGCATACAAATGTACCATACATTACGCAGCACTTTCTCGTCATTCTCGTCAACACTTTATTTCTGGTTTATAAGAGTTTTCTGAAAAATAATTTGTCAATGAAGATTTTAGCATTGGATACACCACCTATTCTCCAACGCATCCACTCTAACAAGATGTGGTCCAATTTAGTAAAATAGAATTTCCTTGTGCTTTCGAGATAAATGCCTCTTTATAACTCGAATTCTCAGACAGGATGTAAGAAAATGTCACATTCGTCTTTTTGGAGCTCTTAATTTGAATATTAATAAGGAAATTGTTCAGGAGGAAAAGTAATCATTTCAATTAGACATTTTTCTCTTAATATTCACTAAAAACGTTATTGTACACCTTTCCAAATATCTCAGTGTACGACAGATTCATGTTCCAAATTAAGTTGTGGCTTTCGATCAGAGATCTTTTTGATACGTTTAATTGATTGGCGTTTATTCGTGCGTTCCACGAGATTAAAAAACTTCAATATTTACTAATTTCTGTTGAAAGCCTCTGATTGGATAGTGGAAATCCCCCCCCCCGTCACCCGATAGGCGTCAAGTAGACAGAAATATTATTCGGACAATATAAAGAGTAATTTCTTCTTTTGTTAAAATATTAATGTTACTTGTGTATTATTTTTTCCGGTGTACATTATAATGTCATAATTCACGAGCTTGCAATTATAATTTAAATTAAAAACCGAATATGAATGCTTCGGATACAATCTATTTGCAGGGTTTGCATTTATACGTTTTTGCACAAATGACGTGAACCCAGGATTTAAAATTCAAACCCCGGACATTTCAAAACACGCCTAAAAATATTTATTCGGGTGCTGGAATTAAAACTGACGTTTGTAAAACAAAACATTTAACTGTTATTAAAAATGTGTAATACCTTGAGATTTACATAATGATTCGTTGAGTGTGTGGTTCCAGCGACCGCTTCATATATTTCGGATTAAGTTGCAATTTATACTTCAATTTATTCCGCATAAAAGTTAATCCTGTCAATTAAATTATATATTTCTCATTTGCACTCATTACATCGGCGTGTCAGTGGGGAAAAGTAGTGAGCATTTGAAAATATGCGTTTGGAGGTTGGTTGACCTGCTCCTGCTGCGAATTAAAATGCTGTCAAATACGAGAAATGAATGGCTCTTTACGACAAAATTATGTATATTTTATTACGTTGTGATGCAGTTTTGAGAAAGAGTAATGGAATGAACTTGCTGTTGAATATCAGGAAGGTTAGAAATTTAAGACATTTGATGAGTATCTCTGTTTTAGAATATATTGTGATCTTCAGCTGCGAAATAAAATATCGTAGTATACGATTGTTTCTTGATCTCTATAATTTCATCTTAACGTGAGTTATGTTCTTTCTCCTCTATGCGTCAATAAAATTAAAAATTAAGAAATTGCTAGGAATTATCAGTAAGAGAATTCAGTTATTGATATTTCTGTACGATACATTCTTATAAAAACCACATTCACAGTAGTCAGCATGACAATCTAGTAAAAATTATTCTTTTTGCCACAGTCATCGTAGTTTTCTTTTCGCAGGACATAACCCATAACCTGTAGCACCCGTTTTCCACTCACTCTCGGGAACTCGGTAAGATTTACGCCCGACGCCCAGGTCTGTCAGTGTCTCTCAGGGCACTAATCCTTCGCGCGTCCCATGTGCAGGTTGTCCAAAAGCCGATGCGTGTCTCCCTCTGGCGACAGCTCGTCTCCATCGGCAGCGACGCTTCGGCGCCGGACGCTCGATTTTGCGCAGCGATCGGCGGCGGGCGCTGAGAGCCCCTAAAAACGGGAGGCGGCGGCTGCGGGGGCGGGGGCGTACGCCGGACGTGCGCGAGTATTTTTACCTCCCTCCCACCAGAGCTTAACGCCCGCCCGCGCGCCTGCCTCCCCGCCTCCGCCGCCGCCGCCGCCGCAGCACCAGCAGCTGCCGCCGCGTTAATCCGTCAGAAGGACGCGTGATATATTCCTTTGAATTATGGCAAAAACTGTCTGTTAACACCAAAACAAAATAATCTAGCATTAGCGGAGGATTTTCTTGCGACGACGAGCCAAGTGCGGTACGAACGTGTATGATTTGTGGGGTACTTTTTCAGGCGCGGGCCAGCGGTTGGGGCGGCTTGCGACGGCGGCGGCGGCGGCGGCGGTGGCGCCACCGGCGTCCATGACGACGACAACTCTCGTCAATGTCGCTTTCGCGCGGTCGGATGAGTGGCCGCTGTTCGCGAGGCTTGCGGCGCCGCCTTCGCGGGAGGCAGGTGTCGCCCTGCGGGGGGCCGCACGCCTGCCGATGATCGAGGCTTCTGAAGTCGCGCCGCAAAGCTCGAAGCGCACATTACGGTTGGGTTTTGACGTCCATAATGGACGTCGGAAATCTTCCGCGTCTGGTTCATTCTGTTTATGTTCTTTCCGGAATGGTCTTGAGAGGAAATACGAAGCGAGTTTGTAATGAATTGTCATCGCGGGCTTTGAGGTAAGAACGTTTTATGAAGCAAACATGTAATGAACGTATATTTAAATCCTGCTAGGTCATACCTCAAAAGATAGAGATATATTGTTGTATGTTGTGAGACTTGGCGTTGTTTGTCTCAAGTCACCAGAGTGTTGGCATTTTCATCTTTAGTTCACTATCCACTATGGAGGTTGAATTTGAACCCAATTATTTTTTCAATTATCAACTCAATTGCCACATTTATATTGAATAGTTTACATCCATTTTTTTATCTAGGTATATTGATCTAATAAATATAGAATTATATTAAATACATCCACAATTTCAAATCCATGGAATCTAGATTAATGTCAAAAAATTTAATTATATAAGATTAGTTTGCGAACATAAAGTGTATCTATGTTATTTCGAAAGTTGAATTTTTCTCCATTTTATTCGGAGGAATTCAGTTTTGGTGAAAAAGTAATTTATTTTTTTCAATTATGGCGACAGTTATGAACCAATGAATATGCTTAAGTGAACAATGAATATATAATTAAGTTACGCTTATTTTAGCTCTGGTACTCCGAATAATATAATTTTGTGTGTATTTAATTTCGAGGCCGCGTCTTTGACTTTGCTCAAACATTAGCAAGAGCATGTTCGAGATTTGGTTTTGGATCACTGACAAGTGTGACGATACGTGGCATTCAGTGGTATTCGCATGTAATATACACCAATAACAAGCAAATGTGCGATATTGTATATGTAAATTACTATCCTGACTAGCAATATAATCTTTCTCGAATCATTTAGAGATGAAATTAGAATTGCGAATGCTCTTGGCTGTGCAGAAGACAACGCGTCCAGGATTGATATCGACTTTTCTAGCATTAGGTATTCTTCCACAGGGCTGAAGTGGCGAAACGACATCATTTCCTTCGATAAGGCACCTCTCGGTCGGTCAAGAGCATTCTCATGACTCTGGCCGCGGCAGCCTCTAACTTCAATAATTAGAATCGTTCACATAGACATTAGAATAGTTAGCTCTCTGGCCTCTCGAGCCCAGAGCGCGAGTTCAATCCCTGCTGAAGTGCATGGACTTTCTGAGTCCAACCAGACAGACCAGATGTAGTTAACTGAGACCGACAATTAGCGAAAACAGTGAAGATCACACCCAGGCGTATCAGGGGATAATAAATAGGCTCATTGGGCCTATTCGAAACATCTTCTACAACTGCGTTGGGGGTAGCCTTCAAAGGAATCCTGAGCCCCAAAATACCCTTGCGGAACGCCGAGGAATAGCCACCTGCTTGCAAACTATCCCCAACAGCCTAAAAGTGGAGTTGTACTCACCCGCACGCGCGCCTCGGTGAGGTTGGTCCACATGGCGATCTCCTCGCGGGTGCTCATGTCGGGGTAGCGGTTGCGCGCGAACGTCGCCTCCAGCTCCTGCAGCTGCTGCGACGTGAAGTGCGTGCGCTGGCGGCGCTGGCGCTTGTTCTTCTTGTCGTTCTTGCCGTCGTCGCCCGCGCCGCCGCCCCCGCCGCCGCCGCCGCCGTCCGGCCCGTCCACGCCGGCCTCCGTCTTGACGGTGGCGCCGCCCACCGGCTCCACCGCCAGCACGCGCCCGCCTGCGGACACGCGCACAGGTGGCGCCACGTCGCTACCAGGAAGAAGACGAAGCTCCGAGGCACACGCCTTTCAATTGGATCAGCGCGAGGAGAAAGGGAACATTCCTACTTTGGAAAGTTGCTCTAAGGTAAAGCAAATTGAATTGTGAAACACAGGAAAAACTGGACAGGATAATATGACATGTGTGAGTATTATATAATGTTTTCTTGCTCCCAAAAAGTGGCAAGAAATGACTTGTTTCCTTTCTCCTCAGCGAGATTCAATTATATACGACGTATGTAGGAGAATTTAAGAAAGTATGCCTCTGTCAAGCGACATGGTGGGTTGGTATAGGAACGAAAGCCCTTTTTAGTTGCGACTCAGCAGACACTTCGGTTCTTTGTACGCGCAGAGCATATCAATAAGCACATGCAACTTTTTCAAAAATGAAAACTGGAATTAATTATTTCTATTACTGATGATACCTTTATGATTCATCGTATTTTACAAATTAAGTTCGGAGTCGCAATAGAGTAGCAATTGTCCTCTGGATTTGAAGCTGTGTTTTGAAGCAAAGATGTCAGTAGTAACCGCAACTCTTCATGATGGCCAGCGATATAGGTTTGTGCATTGGGGTCAACTATAAAAAAGTTAATAGTTTACTAGAATTATCAATTGAGAGATAAAATTAGTATTGAAATGAATGAAAATATTTCAATTTCTGTGCGTTTGTCTCGACTACTGATGCGTTCGAGGATGACAAAATTCATTTTTATGGAAAGAAGAACATGATAAAGGATTAGCCGAGGGATACATTTAGGTCAAACACTGATATTCAGGATTTTTAGGGACGGTTTTGAAAGAAGAAAGAATCTCTTCATCATATATCTCATTCCTTGAAGAATGTGATGATGTCTCATTGACGTTAGAAAGCACTTTCCAATACCTTCAAGCATCAAAATGCCTTGATACGTCATATTTTTATATACCTAAGGAAATTAACAGTATATTGAAAGCAAACTAGCTTTTAAAAGCGTAAAAGGAACTCACTCGCTCTTCAAACCCATTACGGTAACATTTCTCTTTTATCTTAACTTTTACTCATATTAAACCGGTATTTCATCTGCACACGAAGCATGGCGTTTGCCACGTCTTCTCCCACTTTTGGAAATGCACAATACATTTTTTATGACCTGTTAATTTAGAAGGGCCTGGAAGTGGGGAATCGAATGTTACAAACATCAGTCAGAGACCTATCCTCCTGTAACCATTCGCATGTGTTCCTGCAGTACAAATGGTAAAAACAAAACGAAACAAAAAACATTATTTTTGATTTTAATAGTCATTATGGTTATAAGTGCTGTAAGATCTTAATGTTTCATGCGATTAAATTAAACGTTATTTATCGGTAATAAAACACCAGGAATAGAAAAATGAAGATATTATTATTTGCTCACAGCACATTTTTTATTCTTATTCAACGCTAGTCGTAGAGAGAGCTTTTGTTAACATGTGTGAATGTGGTATTATGACTCGGGCGTAATGGTAATTGCTGCGCTAGAATGATTTCTCTTATGCCCCTTTGAGAGTTTTCCTTCTGAGACCTCGCGAAGGCTTGGTGTTTAGCTCCATGTGTTCGCCCCGCCAGAAGAGGCGTGGAGGAGGAGCGGGGCAAAGGGAGGGAGCGGGGCGGGGGCGGGCGCGCGGAGGCAGTGAAGCGCCGGTGGAGCCAGGTGGCGGCAGTGGCTTTACGCGGTGCGCCTCTCCGGCAGTTGCGGGACGAGGAGGCGAAATCAAGGGCAGCGCCGAGAGGGCTTCACGGCCGACTGGATAATTCGAGGACAGAAGACGGGCGACGTTTCGCCGGACACAGAGAAGGACCACACTTAGTTTGTGAAACAACAGAACACGTTTTAATATCACGCACATGTAATGCAGGGATAGTATATTTGATACACGAAATAATATGAAAAAGAGTGTATTTGTCCAGTGAGATGAATGAACTTTACGGAATAATTTCGAATATATCTGGTAATTAGCTTCTTCAGAAAGGAAAATGTATGAATTTTCGGCTCTATGAAGCAATATATGCACATTTTATTACACATGGTGACACATTATCTTACGTAAATTCATAAAAGTCAAGTTATTACATTAGTCAATTTAAGTGTTCTTCACTGCTAATTTAAACTGTTAGTTAATGTTGACTGTTTAGAAAATGTCAATAATATTATACATCAATGTAATATATCAATTTTGTTTAGCAGAAAATATACAGTGGACTACCTAACTTGTGACGTGTCGGTGCACATTGTATAGGAGCAGGTGATGATATTGCGTGGCGTTGAAGAACTTACAGAAGTCAGCAAGACCAAACAATCGTAAGCTCGTGGGCCATGAGAAAGTTAGAACTCGCGGAGCAGGCAATGTAGAGTAATCGGAGACCGCTGGCGGTCGCAGCAGGAGGGACGCGGTGGACGGTGAGGCCGGTCAGGGTGGAACGCGAACACCTTAAGAGCGGAGAGAAAGACGCTTTGGGGCAGAACGACGCCAGCGAATCACGCCAGCCTCCGGTTAACGTCGCGTCGCCCGCGTCGGAATCTCGCTCGGAGATCCTCCCGCCCGTCGATCGAGCCCGGGCTCTGGCGGCGCTGGCCCTTGCGTCCCCGCCCCTGCCGCCGCCCCGCCGCCGCTGCGCCGTAAAAGTGCAATAAAGCCGCTTTGACGCGCGGATAAGCGGGCGGGCGGGCGGACGAGTGCGCGCAGCTCGCTAGGCAATTGTTTGATGAGGTCGCCCGTGCGCTCCGCTCCGCGCCGCTCCGTCTCGCTTCGCCCCTCCCTTCCTCGCCCGTCCGCTTGGGCCGTTTTATCTTTATAGCCCCGCGGATGTTCTGCGCGCATGCAGTCGCGCCGGAATGGCGGCGGCGGTGGGGAACAGCGCTGAGGGCGGGCGGCCACGAAGAGCGCCGGCGCAGCCGTGCAGAGGAACAGCCGAATTCCCTGGAACCCTCTATCAATGTCGTGAACGGAAAATAAAATTATTTCATGTTTAAGCTCTTTCTATTAATGTTCATTCATATTAGTTACAGTTATCAGTATTCACGTGTTCTTATTGTTAGCTGTCAAGATATACAACACTAAATACAAGATAAGAAATACATAGTATGAGGTTACATGGAAATTGCCTGATACGTTCATAATATTAGTGTCAAACGTGGATACTTGAATAGAGTACACCAAATGATGCCCGGAGAGTAAGAACCATTTGACGACCCTTTTTGTGAAAACGAGATTTTCGCATATGCACGAAGCCCGTCCTGCCCTCTATCATCAGATATTGTCATTTTCGACAATAGTTTCTAAATCCCCTCAGGGAATGTCGATGAAATTTTATTTCATGTTTCTCTGATTGCAAGAACCAGATAATAACCGGAGTTATCCACTTCTTGCACTGACACCTGAGCTGGTGCTGGACGGAAAATGAAGAGCAGTGGAAAGAAATACTAAAAGAAGGAAAATATGGAATCTTTTACTTACGCCAGATGTGTGTTTTTCATCATGGGTTTATATTCATGTTAGACCGAATGGCATCAAATGTATATGAAGGACAAAACCCAAGAGAAGAAATATTCAAATGAATCTGTATCAATTCGTAAATATTATGTAGACATCCCCGCCTCAAAATGTTAAATCCCTACATTTCTTCAATGATAACTGGGCGGGACAAAATAATATCTTGATGCTCAATTGTTAATCTCACTTTCTTCATCGGATTTTTCAAACATTTCTCAACTTTCGTAACCTTCGATATTAATGTATGTCCTGTGTTCAGGCCTTCTCTAAAAACGGCCTTCTCCACAATCAAATGTAAAAGGGAATACGTCTTTGCCCCAAAAAGATGGTATGACAGTAATATCAGCTTCTCCGTAATTTTCACTTGTTAGATTGAATCAGTATATGCTATTAACTTACAAATACCAATTACAACCATTTTCAAGCAGATCATCAAGAACGGAACTCTTAGAATTATTAGATCTCAGGATTTCATTTATGAAGGAAGAGATGTGCTTGTATTTACTCAGCGTAGTGGTATTTTCAACTCCAAGTTTTGGATATTTAAACTAAGACATCAGCTCCTTCAGTTGAATGCACACAAAACAAACATTGAAGCACTTTTACTGATTTCTAAAAAGTACAATGATGATATGAAATTGTCGTAAAAGTATATTCCACCTGTGCACATTGACTATTACAACAGTCTACTTTCTGCAGACAGAAACCTAAAGGAGGAATCTGAGACACTGACATGTCTTATAATGACTAACATTTCTTTGTTGAATAGAATTAATATGATCATAAAGTTGTTCAATAAAGATAATTTGTTGCATATTTTAACTTTAATGTTAAATATTTAGTGTTTTCTATAAAAACCATGGAAATAAATAATTTGAATCCAATTATTCTTGCTTGAACCCATTGTAGATATTTTGAGTGCAGATATATTCAACACATATTTATCTAGTTATTACGTTCTTCTACTAAAGCTACTGCATTTAAAATTCGAGGAAATGTTCACTTGGTTCCCTTCCTTCACCTCACACAGGAAAACGTTATGAATTTCATATTTAAAATAATGTCAAATGTTTTTCTCATTTTTATCGAAGCTTTACTTTTGGTTGGTATCTGTTTCTTGTACTTAGGTCTTCGATTTCAGTGTGCAATGCTGCACTTCTGGACTGTCGTTCGCCGCATAATGACCTTTTCATACCACAAGCTACACTAAAAGAACCAACATGTAACAACATTAAGACTCTATTATCTTGCGCGTTGTTCTGAAGTGAAGAAGAAGAGAAGTGCGTGTGTCTCCGAGCGCGCGGTCGTTTATCGTGTTATCATCTCTTATCGCAGCTTCTCAA